TTTTACTGGGCTGGTGTAGCTCATTCCTTATTTAATCATTTCATATCAGGAAGACATTGTTCCCGAGCTCGTTCCGCAGGAAGACGACGAAGGGGACGCCTGAAGACTCCATAGTTATATTTATAGCTTTTATTTTCGAGTTTCTCTTTTAATTAGTTTGTTCTTTTATACTTTGAGCACGTTTTTGGTTTTAGTGTAAGAGATGTTAATCAAAATTTTTATTACGGTTTCACATTTGACATTTTTAATACACATATTTTATTTTAAAATTATGGGGCTGTTACACCTGTTTAAGGTGCCAGCCCAGCCAGAATAAACCCCTGAGCATGAAGAACTCTAACGTCGGCCTATCTCCCATTTTACATTAAAGTAAATTTCAAAATAAGATAAATATATAATAAAAAATATATACATTAATTGCAAATAATCTGCAAAAAATAAATACAATAAACTCAATCTTAAAAAAGAACAAAAAATGTATTAACTATTAAACTAATTAAGGATTAATAAATTATGTTAATTACGAAATAAAATAATAAATTTATTTATTAGAAAAATACTTTTAAATAAAATAGTAAATTTATTTATCAGAAAAAGGGCCGATAAAAGCCCAAACTTTCCAGCCCATTTTCTGCCTAAATAAACAGTAAGTTATAGAAAGAAAAAAAACCGAGAGACTGTAGACACGAAGCCACCTGCTATTAGAAAGGGAAAAAGAAACCCTATTTTTAGGATATAAAAGAGAGTCGAAGCCGAGAGAGAGAGAGAGAGAGCCCGAAAATGGTGAAGTTTCTGAAGCAGAACAAGGCGATCATCCTCTTGCAGGGCCGCTATGCCGGACGGAAGGCGGTTATCGTCAAATCCTTCGACGAAGGAAACAGAGACCGTCATTATGGCCACTGTTTAGTTGCAGGGATAAAAAAATACCCGAGCAAGGTTATCAGGAAGGATTCCACCAAGAAGACCGCCAAAAAATCCAGAGTGAAGGCCTTCGTCAAGCTCGTGAACTATCAGCACTTGATGCCTACTCGTTACACCTTCGACGTTGATTTGAAGGATGTCGTCACAGTCGATGCTCTTCAATCTAAGGACAAGAAGGTGACTTCTCTTAAGGAGACCAAGGCCAGGTTTGAAGAGAGGTTCAAGGCTGGAAAGAACAGGTGGTTTTTCACCAAGCTCAGGTTTTGAATCGTTGTTTTGCTTCAGTTTTAGAACTAGATTTTATGGAGATGATCGAACAACTTTTTTCCGAACTTGTTGGATCCATGTTTCTTGAGTTTATGCCTTTTGAATTCTGTAATGCTTCTGTTTTTTGGCATTAATGCGTTATTCATTGCAAAAGTAACTTATTTACTTCCCTTTTATGTCTATTGCTTGAATTTAGACTCTGTTACTTTCCAGTGAGAAATACATTTGAATATCGGATCCAACTTTGTTGTTAACTGAAGTCGCAGATTTTTCCTGTTGAGATTGCGCTAATACCTTACATTCAACGGATGTGCATTCAGAATTTTTTGGATTAAGGAAGGACAATCTTGAATATAGTTCTCTTATCTCAAAAAAAAAAAAAAATGTTGAATATAGTTCTCGGCACTTACAGATTAACTTACTATATCCAGATTTTCAACCTTCTACCTGTTTTAGCTGTTGAAAGTTCATCTTCTCCCGAATGTGTGACTATTTTTGTTCTTGAAATGTGAAGTTGCACAGGCAGAGCTCATCATTTTTGCAATGGATGTATGAGTTTAAGTCAGGTTGACATGCAATTTTTTTGCTTCATAAACTGTTTGGATTGGAAATGAAGTTGTTCTAGTTGAAATTTACTTGTTCTTGGGATTGAGTGGCGGAAAAGGAATGTTAACTTGATTACTAAATACATTACATGATTTATAATTTACGATTTATTTGAGGACTTGATGCACATATATCTTGTTTTGATAGGCAAATAACTAAAAGTTCAGTTGAAGAACTGAATTCTATGTTCACTGTGCATTCCATATGAGTTATTTCTAAGGGTAGCATAGAATTTGAGGATTGGAGCTCAGTATCAGATATTTTGCATATTCATGTTGGGAGAATGTTACCCTCAGCTCAATCTTAGAATACCAACTGGAGGAACTAAGTTTTTACCCTTTGCATGCTTAAAACATAATAGTTCTGAAATTTACAACCTAAATAGTTAAACACCATGCCTGAGTTTACAGTAACTATATCCTATATATATTAACCTTATGGCTCGAATAGCTAACTTGGAGTGGTTATACACAATGCTTTGGGCTAAAGGGATTCTAAGGGATTTTAGGTCTCACTTGCTTGGTGTTTGGTTGAGGATTAGCTCTGTGATGACTGTTTGGTTTTTACATGTGTTTCAAAGAAAGTCTTTTTTACTGCTATTTGGTATTTGGTAAATAATCTTTATTAATCTATGATTTGGTTGTGCCATCGGGGACTGTTTATGGATTAAATTAGTCACTGCAAAGTTCATGAATGGATGAGATAAATTAGTTACTGTGTTTTTTTTTCAATGAAAGAATAGGCATAGTCATCATGATTTTCTTGATTTCAGACTTTGTTGAGCTCTTAAATTGTTAAATTTTGTTCTTTGTTCGATTTGGGACGAGGGAGAGGGTTAAGACTGGGAATTTGCATTCTATGTTATAAGAACCTTTATGTTATTAGAGCTACGTTGTCTTAGGATGATATCTGAACATTTGTGTTATCTGATCATTTATGTTTTCTGAACTTGGATACTAGAGTACTCTATTGGTACAGATTGGTTGATTTATGGGCAAGTTGTCTTAGGATGATTTATTGTTTTATAATGTGCTGCTATTATAGTACTGTACTAATTATAATACAAGTCTTATAACAAGTGCTGTAGAGATAGAAATTAAGATATAATACAAGTCTTATATACATGTATATATATATATATATAAATATAATGTGCGTGTGTGAATTTTTGTGTATGAAAGTATACATAGATGACTAATATACATACGTGTTTATGTATTCACTGTCGTTTAAAGGCCCACTTGCTCTCAAGGTTGGTCTAAAATGGTGGCTCTCTTCTCCTACTTAACAATATGAGAATGGATATTGAGCAATTGAATTACTTGGTTTACTCAATGAAGTAATCAAGTTTTAGAAATACTTAATTATAAAGTTGACTCACAGGTCCACATCTTTTAATTATAAAATGGGATTGAGTTAGCAACTCAAATTTGTTTGATTCTGAATTGAATATTTACCCAATTGATCTTGATAAACATATCAAATAAATCAATAAAAATTTAATTAAAATAAATTTATCTAAATAATGAGATTTAATCATTGCTTTTTTTTTTTTTTACAAAAGAGAAAATATTTACAGTTTATGGGATTATTTGAAGATTTATAGAAATTTATTGAGTTTTTTCATGTAATATTGAATAAATTTAATTATAATATGTAGTTAATTTATTAATTATTTAATATTTTATTTTATCTGTTCTTTTACAATAATATAAAACTAAAATAAAGAATTACATTATTTTAATTTTGAAATAAAATGATAAATTTATTTGTCGGAAAAAATGCTGAGAGAAAGCCCAAATCTCCAGACCGATAATCCACAAAAGGGCTTAGAAAAGCCCATGCTACGGCCCAAGAAAATGAGGCACAGAGACTTCCAATTCGTCTGATATAAAAAGCCTATTTCTCAGAAAAAAACACTCTCTAGGGTTCAAGAGCGACGAAGCCGAGAGAGAGAGCCCGAAAATGGTGAAGTTTCTGAAGCAGAACAAGGCGGTCATCCTCTTGCAGGGCCGCTATGCCGGACGGAAGGCGGTTATCGTCAAATCCTTCGACGAAGGAAACAGAGACCGTCCTTATGGCCACTGTTTGGTTGCAGGGATAAAAAAATACCCGAGCAAGGTTATCAGGAAGGATTCCGCCAAGAAGACCGCCAAAAAATCCAGAGTGAAGGCCTTCGTCAAGCTCGTGAACTATCAGCACTTGATGCCTACTCGTTACACCTTCGACGTTGATTTGAAGGATGTCGTCACAGTCGATGCTCTTCAATCTAAGGACAAGAAGGTGACTTCTCTTAAGGAGACCAAGGCCAGGTTTGAAGAGAGGTTCAAGACTGGAAAGAACAGGTGGTTTTTCACCAAGCTCAGGTTTTGAATCGTTGTTTTGCTTCATTTTTAGAACTAGATTTTATGGAGATGATCGAACAACTTTTTTCCGAACTTGTTGGATCCATGTTTCTTGAGTTTATGCCTTTTGAATTCTGTAATGCCTCTGTTTTTTTGGCATTAATGCGTTATTCATTGCAAAAGTAACTTATTTACTTCCCTTTTATGTCTATTGCTTGAATTTAGACTCTGTTACTTTCCAGTGAGAAATACATTTGAATATCGGATCCAACTTTGTTGTTAAGTGAAGTCGCAGAACAGGTGGTTTTTCACCAAGCTCAGGTTTTGAATCGTTGTTTTGCATCATTTTTGCGAACTAGATTTTATGGAGATGATCGAACAACTTTTTGTTAACTTGTTGGATCTATATTTTTCTGAGCTTCTGCTTTGTGATTCTTCAATGCTTCTGTTTTTAGACATTAATCTGTTATTCACTGCAAATTTATCATATTTGCTTCCTTTTGTGTGAATTGCTTGAATTTAGACTCGGTTACTCTCTAATGAGAAAACATATTTGAATATTGGATCGAACTTTCTTGTTAAAGCAAGTTACAGATTTTCCTGATTGGATTCGGCTAATACTTTACATTCAACCCATGTGCATTCTGAGTTGTTTGGGTTAAGGACAATGATGAATATAAATCTTGGCATTTACAGATTTAACTTATTGTAACCAGATTTTACCTATCTGACCTGTTTAAGTTCATCTTCTCCATTTCGATGTTGCACAGGTATGCCTGAAATATCTGCTATGGGTTTTATGGGGTTGGCTGTGTCTTTTAAAATTCAGGTTGAGATGCTTTTTTTTTTTTTTTTTTGCTTCATGAACTGTTTTGATTGGGAATGAAGTTTCTCTATTTGAAAATCCACTCGTTATTCGGAATGAACGGAGGAATGCTGGCTTGATTGCTAAATACTCTACATGTTTTGTAATATATGATTTTGATGATTTTATGTATTGATACCATTTTCACTGTGCATACCATATGGATAAATTCTAAGGGTAGCATAGAATTTGAGGATTGGTGTTCAGTATCATATTCACATTACATGCTGGGAGAATCTTACCCTCAGCTCAGTCTTACAATATTAACTGGAGGCACTAAGTTTTTACCCTTTGCATGCTAATCTTTAAAACATAACAATTCTAAAATTTACAACCTAAATAGTCAAACCATATTCCTGAGTTTACAGTAGCTATACCCTGCATTTTATTAACCTTACGGCTCAAATATTTTAGGTAACTGTTTGTATAACCCTTTTGGACTAAAACCACTCAAGGAGATTCAGTTAATCACTTGCTTGGCATTTGGTTGAGAATTAGCTCTGTGATGACTCTTTGATTTTTAAATGTGTTTGAAAGAAAAATCTATTTTTGTGCTGGTTGGTTTAATAAATGATTTTTGTTAGTCTGCAATTTGATTGTGGCCTCGCATACTCTTTTCGGATTAAACTAGTTACTACAAGAGCTCATGAATAGATGAGATAACTTAACTTTGTCACTCTGTTGTCTGATTTACATCCTGTTATCTGTGTTACATGCTTTTAGCTTAATTTCTTAGTTTAATACTATTGATCTTCAGAGTACGTTTTTCCGTGACTATGCTGGAATGCTATTAATTTATTGAGAGAACCATATTCTGTTTATAAGTTAGGCTTATGGTTGGAACAAATGAGGGTTCATTCGAAAAGCTGCTTAAATTTTTTAACCATTCAAGCTGAGTTCTAATCATAATTGAGGGAACACAATATATATCTCCAATTTTTTATGATTTGTTTTAAGTTGTACTTAAAGTTTTAAACTTTTTTTTTTTTTTTATATATTTAATTTTAAGTGATTTTTATATAGTAAAATACACATCAAGTTTAAGATCCTAAATTACATTAAAAGTACTTTGGAAGTTATTCTTGTTCGTATAATTGAAATTAGTTGATAATGTATTTTTTTTTTTAAAGATAAGGATCAAATGAATGAAATAACTCAGGTACAAATTTATTTATAGGAAAAAATGCAAAAACTAAGAAGGAAAACAGAGAAATATAAAGAGCTTATTCTACAACCACCTGTATACAAAATATGTATAGGCCTAGGTTTTTTTATTAATACAGAAATAAATTAAATAACACATAATAATAAAATATACCCAACAATAATAGTAAGAAATAACAAGCCAGTCATAACGTCAATGAAACAACAGCACCAAATCTAAAGGTCTTCAATCCTTAAAAGCAAGCATCCAACACACAGCAGCAACACAAGGCAGCGCAACTGCACAACACCACCCAAAAATTTACATCAGTTCAATTTATCCATCCATCTACACACCCACACACATATATATATATATATATATATATATATATGCATCTATGCACATATAGATATGTATGTATGTATATATGAATTGAGATAAGAGTTTGAATTTTTTTTTTTTTACCATCCTTTCCAGAAGCCATCACCCCTGGATTTGGTCTCCACAGGGTAGGAATTAGGGTTTTGAAACTGAGTCGCGTCCTTGGTGGGATAACCTGCTGGTGGTGGAGCTACATATGGCTCTGTAGATACTGGTGGAGGAGGGTATGCCACTGCCAATTTTCAATTAAATATATCAGTATTCAAAATCCTCTATATATATCTTAGATATTTATTTATTATTTTGCATTTTTAATCTCATCAACAAATTCATACATATAATTTTTGTTTATTCAGTTTTCTTTTCTTGTTAAAATTCAGCTATAAGTATCGGATGATACCGTATATATGGTCAACGTATATATAAATATATATGTATAAGATGATGAACTCCATGGAATAATAATTATAAACCCCTACTATCATCATAAAATTTTACTCTCTCTCTCTCTCTCTCTCTCTCTCTCTCTTTCTCTACTTAAATAGCTATATATTCAATCATGATCGCTGTACTTAGATCTTTTATCCGCCAGCAATAATTTATTAACACTAATTTTTTTCCTAAAGCGCATCATAAAGATCTGCGATGATTTCTTTTTCAGGAAAAGTTAAATTTCATAGCGTGTGAATGAAAACAATTATGAAGAAGAAGAAGGTATACCTGGAACTTGATTCTGATTGTACTGGCTCATCTTCAAATTCTCAAAACTCAGATAACTCAAAATTTAGAAGAAGGAAACCTGTTCGGCAAGCAAGAAAATACGTTGTAGCTAACTGGATATAGATATAGTTTCAGAAGAAGCTGGTGTGTGTGTGTATATATATATGTATATTGTGGTGTAGAAGGTTGCTTATGATCGGGGAGGAAGCTCACAAAAGTCGGTCGGCCTGTCAATGCCGCGTTGAGGACAAAGAATAAATAATATCGGGAAGAGACTGGCGTGGGAGGCCAAGGATTCCTCTTTTATCCTTATTTTATTTAATTCTAATTGAATGTATAGAGCGAGTCGTTTTATTAAAGTAGCCGGTCGTTTTCTGCAATGCGGATGGATTGCCACGTGTCCTCCACCTTGAAAAAAACAATATATATTTAACTTTACATTTTTTTTTTTGGACTTTCTTAAAGAAATTAGTTGGAAAGAAAACATTATATTATATGGTTCATAGAATCAACATAATTAAACAACTCGTATTTTGTTTTTTGCTTCTTCAATTAGGATCGTGCTGGAATTGGGGATTCTTTAAACTTTTTAGAAATTAATTAACCTCCTTTTACTTTGAAATAATTAAAATTTAAATTTTTTTTTTAATTAAACGTGATAGAATAATTAATTTAAAATCTTGCCGTGTTAAAATTCACTTCCAATATTTATCGTGCGAAGTTGAAGTTCTTCTTTCATTATTTATTATTTTATATCAGGTGACATGTGCATAATCTTTTAATTAATGAAGAAACATGAGGAGTATAAAAAGAAACCTGAGAGGAAATATATGAGAAAAATGGGAAGAGAATTTAATCGTAATTGGAATTGAAGAACCTCTGGTAAAGACAAAAAAAAAAAAAAAAAAAGGAAATTAAAGGAGATGCTCATGCTTTTTAGTCACGGAATTTTCTAATCTTTTCCTTATTTAGATTTTTTAGGTGTTTACATTGATAATTTTAAATTAATAAAATGCTCTGAAATTTTAACATTTGTGTAACCAATAAATAAATTTATTGTTAGAATAATCGATTCATTATTTTATTTAATTATTATTTTACAAAATGAAAACTAATTTAAATATTAAAATAAATGGAAATTAACTTGAATGTCTATTTATAAATTGATGTTTTCTTTTTCTTAAAAAGAAAACTTCCAAGTTGATTCCTAATGGCCATAGAAGAATTATAAGAGGGTGGAAGGTTCTAAATTTAGCTTTTTTTTTTCACATGGAAAAAGTCCAAATTGTGGAGACGTTAGTAGACCGGAGAAGCTGTTGTATGGAAAAGTCCATTTTGGCTGGCAAATCTTTGAATTTGACCATATATATATATATATATATATATATATCATCATCCCCCTTTCTTTTCTTATTTATTTATTTATTTATATGCTTTTCTAAACATTAAAAATGATTTTTTTAAAATAATAACTTTAATAAATTAAAATAATAATTTATCATATACCCACCATTTTTGACTAAAAATAATTTTTATTTAAATTTATTGATGACGTAATTTCACATCCAACCCAACGGAGTTAAAAATTTAATTAACTAATAAGTAGTTGATGCGGTGATCAACTAACTAACTTATTACTAATGGGATTTGTTGCAGCGGGCGGATTCAAAATTTAATATAATAATAATAAGGCTGAACTTTATTAGCAATGCGCCCATTGGAGTTTTAGATGGACCATTCGACATTCTACAATTAAAAAAACTATACTAATTTCTTAAATTAACAGTCAGTCAGCTGCAGTGAGCTAATCGTCCCTAGTGAAGAAAAATTAAAATTTTAATCTGCCTGTGATATATAGTTAACAAAATCATGAAGATAAAATGAATAAGTAAAATAAAAATTTTAAAGTAAGTGATAAATTTGCTAAAACTTATGTCTATAACAAAATAATAAAAAATTTGTAACGCCCACAATTTTTTTTTGTTTTAATTAAATAATTAATAAATATAATTTTTATTATTTTATTTTATTTTATTTTATTTGGGGTAAAAATGAAATAAAATTGATGGATGATTAAATTGAAAATAATTTTGGAGAAAATATGTGAAAATTTGAATTCTGCAGGTATTTTTGAAACAAAAATCAAAAAACATGGATAAAAAAACCACGTCAGACGCCCGGTCAGCAGCCATGACCAACCAGGATGCGTCAAGTGGCAAAGACTGCATGTGTGGTTTATTTTACGTGTTTACTGTTGAGTCGGAAAAAATAAAGTTTAAACAGTAAAGAAATTGTGTGATTAAATAATTAGATGAAACGACAGTCTTACTGGATATCCTGAGAGATGGTGGACGGATCGGGTACATAGGGAACCCTACCGTGAACGTTGTCTCATACCGGACAGGATATGTAGACGTGATAATTTGGCGCTCATACCGGACGGGATATGGGGACGGCCCGCTTCATCCTCATACCAGACGGGGTATTGAGATTTGGTAAATTGGCGCCCCATATCGGACGGGGTATGGGGACGGCCCATAATTGAGAATGATAAATGAAAGGGTTCACATGTAGTGGAGACATCTCTATGAACCCAATAGATACCAACAGTCTAGTAAAAATAGTGGTAGTTATTGTTTGGGTTTATTGATAACAGATATGAATTTATAATATGTACTATGATGACTGATCATGCATGAAATATTGGTCTGTATGATATTATTGTTCTTACAGGTTGTTTTCATAAATTCCACTATGGTAAGTGAACGAGAAATGATTTTATGATTGATAAATGAATTTGCTAAATTTAATGCTCCATTAGTGGTTTT